GTTAAGGAGTAGAACATCAATGGAAATTGTTGCAAAAATGGGTAAAAGATTATTCCTTTTGAGGGACGTAGACGAAAAGGGGGGTGGAGGTTTGTATAGGGAATCAAAAACCGCTAAACCGATGACATTTGGTATGGAGATACTTTGATTTTTGAGGAAAGTTATATGCAATTTATATTACTGCGATTACCGCGATAACTGACATTTACGCTGACGGAGCCGCAGGCAAAAGGTAGTATTATTATAGTTGATTAAAATACTCATTTTTTTTCAAATAAAATTAATATTTTTGGATATCACACAGCGCCATCTAGTTTGAAACTTGCTTAGTTTGAAACTAGACATATCATTAGAGCTTGAACTCTGAAAGCTAGATTGACTGATGGAATACTTATATACTTTTTTTAATACATACATATTATACATAGAAAACACCCAAACTTCGAAACAAATATTTGCAGATCATACAAACATTTGAGCCGACCCGGGAATCGAACCCGAGATCTTACCACAATAGTCTCGTACACTAAGACTGCGCCACCGAGGCAGTTAAATGACACATACACTGCTATTCAAGCAATAAAAATGGTGCTTTTAAAACTAAACAATATATCTTTGGTTGCGGTCATCAGATTGATACATTTATTGGTATAATTAATGACTGCAATATACATTAAACCAAAATGATTGATAAAAGGCATCGCCAATAATACAATTAAACGGTTTTTTGCGACTTAATGTCGACATATGCGATCAAACGTCGCCACGTCAATCTCGCTATTAACAACCCCATAAAATGAAACAAATATAAGGGTTTATGCAGACAAGACGATGATAGTCGAATTTAACAATTTGGTTCTGGTCTTAGAGGAGAGAAATTAAGAAAATACTAAAATTCTAAATACTTTATGGGTACGTAAGAATACAACAGACAGTTAAATACTTCCTCTGGTTTTGCTATCGTCTCAGTACGCTTAGGGATACTAATAATCGCTTACCATGAGACAAGCCTTGTTAAGTACACGTTCCCAACTTAACTTCTTTGTAACAATGCGGATAGTGTGACAGCAATAGCTAAGCACTCCATCCAAATAATAACTATCAAAATCTCTTCTAAAGACAACCATTAGAAGAGATAATAATTAAACTAAATCACAATAAAGATAACTTAAATCCATCACAATTACCAAACAAAAATCGCAAGCAACAATCGCTGCAATCCAAACTTGCCGCGCTGTGTAGACGCCATAAAATTAAGAGTGTTGTAAATAACCTCTATTGCCGCCAATATATCCAACTGGCTCTTTGATTCACGACCTCAGCCCCACCGTTTGTTTTTAATTTTTAATGGCGTCTAAAGATACGATCTGTCAAATGATGGTTAATTAATTATAAATGATTTTACGTAAAAGTTTTTACTTCTTTATTGCCGTAAATTGTATTCCAAATTCGTTTTGCGGTAATATTATTAAGATTTGGAACAAATTTACTCGGTAAAGCTGGTACTTCATTAGAAATGTACTCATAAAGGATTTGGGAGTTTATGAAATTATGACTCATCGTTTTTTATTAAAATCTATCAGACCCTTTTAGACCCAATAAGGCGGGCAAAAAATCAATCCCGATGTCAGTCATTATAAATATTTTGACATTTTAGCTGACTTCTTCTCATTTCTGACATATGGCAGGTTAATAGTCGGAAGCAGATTAGAAGTCAAATTACAGTTGATGGTAAACAGTCATCTGACCTCGCCGAGGAAAATAGTTATTAAGTAAGTCTAGGCGTCTTAATTTAAAAAGACTTTTGAAAAGAAGTTTTGTTTACAAAGAAAGCTATGAAGTTTAAACGAACATTGTTTGTTAGTTTTTGAATGTTGGATTTCTTCACACAAATATTATAGAGAATAAAACAAGCATTTAGATGATACTGAACTAGTGTAATATAATAAAAGGACATCACTTATACTGACAACAAAAAAAAATCGAATCTTGTATTTTAAAATAATTCGAAATTTAATTAAAATGTTCTATATTTAAATGTCTTCGCTTAAGTCATAAACTGTAATCAAAAGCTTAATAGACGGCCAATAATAACTGAATCTAAATTAGATAATAATAAATACATCAATTATTTCTACACACAATTTGTAGCAAGCTTGGATAATTTAAAATGATTAAGTTATCAACACAATTTACTTACGAAGGCTAACCTGTTATTATAGATATTATTTTATAGATTACAAGGTCTTTATTGAATAGTATTCTACCACAATGTTTGTTTTACTAAGTAAAATACCGCGCAAATCGGATTTAGCTCTATTTGTTCGTTATGATCTGATACTTAGTCCTTTTAACTTTAGTCTCAAAGTAAATTTACCTACGACTTAAAGTTGTCACTTTATGGCATTATGCTAAGACCTACTATTTTTGGCTTTCTTTACTTTTAGCTTGTGTTTATGATTAAAATCTACTTTTATTATTTCAAGTTCTACGATAAAGAGAACGAGAACAAACCGTAATTACTGAAAACTTCGAATTGAAGGTAAAACTCTATACTTATTAATTATATATGAAAGTTATAATTTATTTAGCCAGAATGATCAGATGCCAAAAAACTGTGCAACGGTGTTCATGGTACATAATATATGTCATATTTTTTAACTAAAATAACACGCCAATTTTCAGTGTTGCATGTTAATCACTCAGTACTACCTACGCAAAAAGTACTTATTAGCATTGAATAAGCTTATTTGAACTTATTTTATTTCGTCACAGTTTATTTTATATGTTAAGCGTTGGTTTCTGTAGTTTTATAATTATATTTTATTTATTTATAAGTCTTACATAGTTTCCTTAAACCTTAGTTTTTAGGATTCCGTAGTGTTCCATTGAACCCCTATAGTTTCTCTAAAAATTTCTAGATTTCCCCTTTAGATTTTTTTCTTTTCTATCTTACTTTTAAAACGCATAATAATAAATTACGGAACCCTACGCTGCGCGTGGCCGAAACACACTTGGCTGGTTTTCACTAGTCAGATCTACTCCAGGTTAGGTATTTATCTACACAAGCACTTAATCAACAGCTATAGTTGGGCCACAAGAGTCGATTTAACAAGTCACCCAATTTATTCATTTAGGATTTAAATTTTTCTAAAATACGTTCCCTCAAAAAAAGTTTTTTTTCAATTTAGTAATTAACTAAAGCAGTGTATTAAAATCATTTGTTTTCTTTTTCTTTTATAATATTATTTTAAATGACAAACATAAGAAACAAATCGAAAATTAAATAATCATTTAATAAAAAGTCTAATATTTTAAATTAATAGTTACGCGCCATTATCGATAGTATCAGTATGAAATATCGATGTTCATCCTAAAATCGGCAGTCCCGTCAGAGTGAGGGCAAAAAACCATAAAAAAAGTTAAAACAAAACACATCTATCTTGTCATGCTGTGTTACGATGTTTTTTACACTGACAGTTTTGTTTTAGCTGAAGGATATCATTATGAAGATGTTTAATAATTATAGGTTTTATCAAAAATACATTCCTTGTTAAATGTTTTATTGTTTTGTTTGTTAATTGTTTTATTATTAAAATAAATAGTTGTTTTACCGTTCAACACTGTCACAACACAATGAATTAAAATACGCTAAATAATACTTGTTCGTAAGCAATATAAAATGGCACTAGGTTTTCTAAAAACTAAGTCTAAATAGGAGCGACATAGTCATAATTGTGACTTAGCTCCTTAAATAAACATTTTTCGGTGAACACAGTTATAAGTAAGAACCTACCATTGAAAATATTATTTGGCCTCGTACGTATTCGTAAACGACAGATGAAAAATACAAAAATATGCATCACTCCATATCGTAGTCAGCTGTTGTAAACATTCTACGCATACCACTCCGCGACCGTCGTTATTTCAATTACCTTGATCCCTCGTCAAAGACAAAGGGACTGGCATCAAAAAACATAAAAGAAAAAAATAAGCGCCCTCCGAGTGAATTAAAAAAACAGTTGTCTTATCTATGATTGGATCGCGGTCGTGTAAACGGTCAAGTGTAAGTTACCAAAGACTCCCGCCTTTTTTGACAGTAGCGTTTTCTATTGTGCCATTTTTTCAGTACTTCTGAAATGGGTTTTGGGTGGTTTTTATTTGGTAAGTATTATAAATGGATCACTTCCAAATCTAATTAGATTGATTGACAGATTTAATTTCTAATTTAAGTGACAAAAGTTACTGTGAAGTTACAAAGGAAAACCTTAAACAAATAACCTAACTGTCAATGTCAAAAGTTGCTTTAGTACTTTGGTGTAAATGGACTAAATAATAAAAAACTTAAACCAACCATATATTAAGAGGTTGTCACACAAACAAGAACCTATCAACACATAATAAAAAAAACATATTTTCTTAAACATTTGAAGCGTTGACGGTAAGGGGCCTTTCAATCGAGCGATAATCTATTGAACTAAAGCAAGATGATGGGCACCCAATGTAAATAGCCGTAATAACCGTAACACGGACAAAAGGCCCCCGCAGACACCCTCAGGGGGCCAACCCAACCTTACTTTAATTATAATATCACCCACATTATAATTTTTTGTTGAAGGAGTATTAAAAAAAATGGCCGCTGCTACTTTTCGGATGCAATATTAATACTATTGTTGGTAACAATTTTCGTGTGTAATTGATTGTTCGTTTCGATCAAAAGACGCATAATGTGGAAACTATCGTAAGGAGGAACAGTGAAGGATGAAGCAGAACCTTTTAAGATTACACGCAGGATTTGATGTCTACATCTACTGGACCTTTTATGTTTTTTGATGTTCGAAATATACATGGCATGGGTAACATGTCTGAGTAACGGCTAATTAGCGATAATAAATCGCGCTATAGCCGTCATAAAACTTTTCAACAATTTTGATAATCGCTATTTATAAAAAGATAGACAATCTTTATGACACGTGTCTCTAAGAGTTCTGCTTATTCCTTCATGCTCCTGGGATATAAAAAAAGTTGATACTCACGAAACCGTGCTTGTCACTAATGTTGTTTGTCAGCTTCAATTTGTGGAAGGAGACAACCTTCTGCATCCATTGTTCACCCGTCGAAGGTGAGTCCGGGTGAATGTACATTCTCTTCGGCATTTCAGGATCCGCCTTCCCGGCAACCATCCACCGACTCCGAAAACAAACGACGTAGGTAAAGAAACCTTCTGATTGATGTAATAGATCAATTATACCAATCAAAAAATTCTTCAATTACAGAGTGAGAAAGTAGGACTGTGTTTGACATGGTTCTTTAATAGTTCATTAAATAGAAACTCTATTTTAATATTTTAATAATTGATTGATTATTGGTATTAGAAAATCATCAATATAATTATATTGCGAAGTAGATTTTATTGAAGCAATCATATCCAATCCGATTAGAAAGCGATTAACATGCACTAATATACAAAATGGTGGTGGTTTACATGCTATTATGATAAGCTAATAAATCTAAGGACAACAACACAATGTGACTGGAAAGATCTGCGTGCAGTGTTACGTGCTGACAGTATAATATGAGGTCTATACTTATATATATAAGTGTAATAAATAGGTGTTGAACCAAAATAGGACTTTAGAAACTACTTGATCAAAGTTTTGGATTATCTATTTTGCAATAGAGACGCGCTCCTATTCTGTGCTACGCAGATCCTTAATATCACATAATTGCATCCATACGCATGCTTCTTGCCTCTCATTTATATAAACGAATTACATTAAAATAAGATCATCTATCCTGTCTTGTCTACTATTTTCTTATTTTAATTTAATTCCATCTCTTTATTTATACCTGTTGTGGAATTTGTATCTGCAATCGTCGGCAGCTACGATGTCCATTAGCAAAATGTACTTTGCTTTTTTATCAAGACCAGAAACGCGAACTTTGTAGGCAGGAAACATACGTCTGCAAGCAATACGAGAGAAAAACATGGGTTGGGACTCGTTCTTTTGCGACAACGATTTGACATCACGTCGATTGTAAGACATCTCGTTCAACTAGTTTCACTTTTTATGTACACATACACTAACAAACGAATGTTTTAGCTTGTGATCTTGCACCGCGGTAATTGCAATCTTTACTGTTCTTAATATGTGGCCAATTGTGTATTACGTTGTAGTATTGACTGTCTAACGTAACGTACCTAAGACAAGTGACTGTGTAACGTAAGACAATTTTAAAATCGGACTATTAGATTGACGATTACAAGTCAGCAAAATGCAACTATATATCTAGATGTTATTCCATTAGTTGTTAAAAAAACTTTTGTTGCTCTAATCACCATTAAACACAGAGGTGTCACAAGGTATTCCTGCGGTACAAAAAGGCCTTGTTTCCGCCACGGCTGGCCAAAAATGGTGCGGTACGCGTCCATTGTGCGGTTTTGCACTGTCGCAAGATTCGTGACCGTCGCACGTGATCCAATGCGTTGTTATGCGAGAATTCAACACGCATACATGAGTGAACAAAGAAAAAATAGTTTAAACACATCTTTTGTAATTGGAAAGTAATTTATATACAGGAGATTTGTAATAATTAATTACCATATTAACGGCGCTAGGTGGTTGCCTTTGTCGGCGTCTGTATCGGTTTACGGCTGACTCACAGTCACATTTTCGGCCGGAATGCTCGGGTCGTATTAATTAACGGATATTAAATCGAAGTTTATCGGCATCATCTCGACGTTGCCAAACTTGCGGCTGTTTGATATCGAATGCGATCGACATAAGCCGGAGGATCGAACCTTATCGCCGCTTGTCATCGTGAATCAAACAGTGTATGATCAAATACGATGATGATTATCGATTTCAAATGCACCGGTGAGGGATGAGCACGACACCCGGAACACAACTAGTATTTTTTGCTCCTGAGATCTCCCGGAGAGATTGTTACCGCGAGTTTAGTCCCAATTTTGGTTAATTTAGAAGGACAGTACGAGTCGCGTCGGTATTTCTCACCTTTGGTGTCGGCACAGCTTTTTATATTATAGCCGCGGGTTTTGAGACAAAGATATTTTAATGATATTACCCATTGGATGTGAGTTGAATCCTTAATCGTCGGCAGATTGTCGGTGTCCAGTTGTCGCGATGTCATTGCCCTTAAATTGAGCGTGTTTGGTACAAATTGTGGGCTATAATTAACGAACGCATCGAAAACGTTTTGTGATGGGAACTAGTGCACTGCGTGGGGAGAATCACAAGCTAAATGAAAACAGGCGTGTAACGGAACGTTATGGAATGAGCATCTCCAATCAACGGTGATATCTATAAAAGTTCCGACAATTTGGCGTCAGCGTGAGGCCAAGTTGTCGGTGGTACATTGAAAAGCTTGTTCGTGAAGACGAGGATGGTGTTGGAGTCCAGCAGGCAATGAATGTGCGTCTACCTGTTATGGAATTTATATCTGTAGTCGTCTGCTGCTACGATGTCCAGGAGGAGGATGTACTTTGCCTTCGCGTCCAAACCAGAGACGCGGAACTTCATTTGTGGGAACATTTGTCTGAAAGTGAAGTTTGGCTATAGCATGGTAGGATTTCTTCTTGGTACCTAAAGAGGGCATGAACACAGCAAATATACAAGTAATTAAATGTAAATAATACCTGATCAGAATAATTAATATTACAGCTGCTGTCAAAATAGAAGGTACATGTGTACGTGAATGACTTGCGACAGCTGAAGGCTCATATCGTGAAAATTAATTGTTGTTATTTTATTGTTAACTTTATACGAAGATTTATTTGACTATGATAACACTCTTATAAAGTATCTACTCAAACTAGCTAATTTGACTATTCAATTAATTAAAATATTATGCATATATATACTCTATTAAGTCGTTATTAACAATGTCATCAATACAAAAAAAAATTTTTACTGCAAGTTTTAATTTTTCTGGTCAGGTTGTAATCTTAAATTAAAGTGTCACTCGCGCCGATCGCCGTTTTTCAATGTTGCCAATAGTGTAAATTATTATGATAAGTGTGTGATATAATCCTTTAAGTACGAAGACGGATACCAAAACTTTAGAGAGAGAGCTTTAGAGTTCGAACTCGACTATTCAATCAAATCACTTGAAATAAAAACAAGCACTAAAATAGTTTAACTTTCAATTAAGATAGTAATGTGTAGTCCATTGCAAATTTTAAAATTACGTGGCTGTTTCTAGGTTGCTGTTTCGTTACGATTTAGTACCCATATGTAATAATAATAAAAACGTTTTCACACATTTTACACACGGCCGTCTTTTCCCAAACTAGGAAGAGCCTGTATTATGGTAACCAGACCACTGATAAACATACTAATACATTTCTAAATACATACATATTATAGATAAAGTACACCTAGACACAGATCTAATGACCGTGCCTATCACACAATTATTTGTCCTGGGTGCGAATCGAACTCACGACCTCTGGCGTAGCAGTCAGAGTCACTAACCACTAGACCCACAGGCCAGTCAATCTTATCTCTACATAAGTCTTTTCCAAAAGTTGATACCCTTTATTTTTGAGACACGATTTATATGTACATAAATGGTAAAAGAAGTTTGAACTGCTCAAATATTCAAAGTCCATCTTGGTCGAGTCATCAGTTAAATATAACACTTCACTATTACTGAAGGTTTACTACCTAGGTAAGCGGCAACAAATCGATCGCTAGTATATATCGATACTGATATCTATACAAAGATGAAATTCGCGAATAAAATTATAGTTCGAAATTTGATTTGCCCACGTACAATCAAATACCCATAGTTCGGATAGTGACGGATTAAGAATACGGAGTGTCACCACCCCTATTCATCCAGTGGGTGTCGTAAGAGACGACTAAGGGAGCAAACTACGCAGTACAACAGCACTGCAAAGAAGGAAAACTTGAAACAAACCCTATACCTACCAACCCTTTTTTTTCCGTGCGGAATACCCTCGAATACCACCTACCGGTGGCATGTCGGACTCGAACCGACTAAAACCGCACGCCATCTCGGGTACTAATAGCCGGGGAATCAGGTATGCCCTAGAAAAAAAAACCCTATACCAACCCGTCTAGCCAGCGTGGTATAGTAGGCCAAAACCTTCTAAGGAGAGGCCTATTGTACCGTGCCTATGTCCAGCAATGGACTGTTAAAGGCTGTTGATGATTGATGACAATCAAATACATGGATGTTGAGTTAAACTTATGAGATCATCGTTAAAACTACATCCAGGAAACACAGAGCTTTCCTTATCGAACGAGGATAATCAGTCTCATTAGCTTCTTATTTATATACAAACGTGACAAACACTCCAATCGCCATAGCGTGATGGATGTTGTTACGTCCAAATAACTGACCAGCATACAGATCATGGGAACACAAATTGTTTCGCCTCTCTCTCATATATATGCAAAACGAGAGGGATGCATAACGTTTTCACCGTTTTATCTGACTCTAAATACAACTCGGTGTGAATTTTGAAATCTGCGTACATCCGCTTACGGTGTTTTAGTTTTTTTGGTTTGTTTTTGTTTAATTGTGACTCCTTTGTTTTGGTATCAATTCTGAGCATTTGAGGTTAGCACTTCTAAATTTACATGATAATATAATATATTAACATGCCGTAGGAATATATTTTCGCATTGCTGTCAATCAACTGAATGTATTATAGCTGTTGCTTGGACTCTAGGAGTACATAGCACGGACACGGATTCACAAATTGTTGTTCTGAGTCTGGGTGTTCTTTGTGTCCGTTTAATGTTTATTTGTAAGTTGTCCTTAAAATAGAAGTTCTATTAATACATATACGAGTATGCTAAGGTCTGAGTGTAGGTACTATGTGTCTCCTGATAGCATGTCTTTACAGCCCCCAAGACACTATTTATACGATACTTTGCAGACAAGACAAATCTTAAATATCAAAATGTTACTTGAAAATAGTATAAGTTACTGGTTTGTGACGTCATAACCAACAAGGGTGTAATAGAAAAGAATTAGTTTTTAAAATCATGTACAATATTTATTTTCTAAATTAATCTGATAATTTCCTTTACTTTTTGTGAATGACATCTCCTTGGTATATTTAACTGAAATAACTAAAATCAAATTGAAATAAATAAGAGTCGGTACACATGATTATATACCTACATCAGTTGGTTTTTATTGATCAACGGTTAATGGTGACATTCGAAACAGAAAATTTATGGTAAAAATGTGTAACAGGTTTGTCTATAAATACTTTATAATTTATGGTTCCTTTGACTTTTGATTTGATTAATCAAATCAGTATAATTTATTATTCAATTTTCGTTTTAGTTCTAACTGTTGAACTGTCTGTCCTTTTTACGATGGTACATAGTATATAAGATGGTATAACATTCTATAATTAAATGGATTTTAGAGAATAAGGAATAAGGAAGGACGTTGCGTGAATTTCGAGAACACTGAAAAAAGTACCTTAAAATTTTATAATTATATTAAAAAGTTATGATAAATTTATTGTTTACGCAACTGTTTAAACACATATTTTTCTTACATCGAACCTGTATATTTGTTTATTTCTGTGAATAAATGTACTTACATGCAAATCAAGTTCTTGAGTGTTAGGTATACTATATGACAAAATACCGCTATTCTTTTCATTATTCATATTCCTTTCATTACGTTGTTTATTTTAAGCCTATTTTAAACTAATATTACTCTTTATTGTACAGATTTCATTCCTAATAATTATTATCTCATGTAATTAGAAAATTTTGACGACTGTCTCTGTAATTTATTTGTGAAGAACCTTATTTTTTTTACCTTACTATTATTAGGTATTAAGAAAATTGGCGACTACAATTTGCAAGAACTAGTCTTTTAGCCATCAACTTTAAATGAAAACATTTTCTTTTGTGGTTTGTACTATTAACAAAAACACGATTGACAACAAAATTCTCGTAACTAGGTATATTTTCTTTTGATTGATAGGTCTTATTTAAAATTCTTACACAGGTTGAAAATGTTGCCACAAACTGGATATTTCGCGTAATAACTGACAACATTGAGACATCGTGGTTATACCGCAGGGGTTAAATTATAACGGACGTCAATCAAACATACAGAGTAAGCTTCGCACTTCAATACCACCCCTTATATCAAGTATTTTATGATAATCAATTGTCAGTAATATTGATAGCTTTATTGTGATTTGATTATAGGTTATACCTAATTGTAATAGAGTATTATTCACTTAAAGGAATGATTTTCTTTTTTCATACCAGCCTAGAGCAAAGGTAAAAAGGGTAGTGTAAGAATGTCGTTTAGCTCATACCTAATTTTATGCTCAGTCATAATATTATGTTCTTAGTTGTCAGGTTTAGATGTGTGTGAGTTCGATTGATTTATAGTTGTGCATTTAGAAAAAAATCTCTTTACTTTTATCGATATGCTGAAGGAGAAAATATCGTAAAAGAAGAAGATTAGAAGAAGAAATGTAACGTAGCTATGCTCTAATTGTTTTAGTATTTTCTTAGTTTCAAACTTGCTTATTGAGGTACTTATTTGTTACCTATGTAATTATAAGAAATCTCAATGAGTGAGTTGGATTTTTGACCGACTGCGCCTGAAGGAGTGTTCCTCGAGTTTCCCTGTGTATGATGTTTCTTTGGCAAGCTCTGTAGTCTTAACCGTTTGATGGATTTTAGCTTGGGAGGTGTGGTTAGATTCGTCTCAATTGTGAGAGTGACATACGAATACGAAACGGGTAAACGAAAATTATCAAAAATTAAAATCGCATGTTTGTCAATTTTAAGAACCTTGGAAGTAGTAGGTACCTATACGTTTTCACACAGTCGGTTTGTTTTTTAATAATAAGCGTGTTTAACGATAAATGTATAATGATTACATAATATAATACGAGTATGTCCGCCAATTCGGATGCTCACAGAATTCAAATACTATACATAAATCAAACTGTATCTTTACACCTACCGCATAATATTTCTACACCACCTGAAGGTCGACTGGGAGAGAATGCCTCATGGCATTTAGTCCGCCTATGTACAACATGTACATTAAGTTTAAAATAAATAAATAATAATTTAACAATGATGTGGTATAAAAATTGAACCTGCTACCTACCTAAATCTATACGGCGTTCTGTCAGGTGTATACGGAAAGGGTGTCACTTGTTAGGATATAACAAGATGTCAAGATATGATTATTTGTCAGTAGTATTCGGTGAACTTTAGTCATTCGTGAGCTTTTGTGTCCAGTGTCAAAATTAAAGCTTGGGTGTAGTAAATAATATTTAAAAAAAAATGCCACCGGATACTGTTTCTAGAATTTATGGCTTGTACTTGTCAAAAGAACCGGTATTACTTGATAGTCAAAATGGCTACTTGCTATTAAAATTGTATAATTGTTTTAAAAATGTATTCACCCTACACACTCAACGGCCGCCGTTTGTCATTTCTGACACATGTCACATTCGCGCCTTTAACAACAGTAATTAATTAAATATTAACGAATTAACATGAATT